GAGTAAGACAAGAGTTGTGGTATTAAAAGTCAACAAAAGATTTGGTTTTAGGCATAGACAGTTATGCTCCCTTAAAATGATCACACACACACACACACACACACACACACACACACACGCACACACAGTGTTGCTGAATTAAGGCTTCTTGAGACTGGGGTTTTGATTGCTCTTTGACTCAACTTACTGGGTTTCTATTCTGTTGTAAAGTATGCTACTGACCCACTGAGCATGCCTTAAGATGGGTAAAGGTGAGTATCAGAGATTGCGCCATACCTGGTGGTGAACTGCTCAAAAGCTAGCTCTGTTCAATGGGGCTTTATGTCACCCAACAGAGTGCTCGTTTTGACTTCCTGTCTTACACCTATCTTTTTGTCTCTGTTTTGAAAAATAGCCATATTCGAAGAAGTACAGCATGAAGCAGGTAGACAGATGGGCTTGGGGAGAACAGGGGCTAGCTTGGCATTTTTATGTAACCAGTGCCTATACCTGACTGAAATTGAATAGATTTCCATTAAGTGAACTGAATATGATCATCTTAAAATATATGTATTTGCCATAATAAAAAGTTAGGTGTAATCAGTTTATTCCCATTTGCTATCTACAATCTTCCTATTTGTCTGACTATCTCCACTTTTCCTGACTTGGTTGGTGGGGGCGTTGCCACACTGTAATCCAGAGCAAAGTATTCATCAAGACAAAGAGGAAGGAGGTGAAATAAGAATAATGTTCTTATTATTAGCCAGGCATGGTGGCACATGCCCACAATCACAGCACTTGAGAGGTGGAGGCAGAAGGATCAGGAGTTCAAGGTCATCCTCAGCTTTATAGTTAGAGATACCCTGTCTCAAAAAATCAAAAACACAAATTTAAAAACAGAATTTTTATTGTGACTGGTGAGATAGCTCAGTTGGTAGAGTGCATGCCTTGCAAGAACCTGAGTTTGATGTTCAGAAACTACATAAAAAAGCTGGGCATGGTAACACTAGTAATTCTGATGCTGGGGAGTCAGAGACAGAGGGATCCCTGGGGCTCATAGGCCAGCCAGCCTAACCTAATTGGTAAGTTCCAGGCCGAGGAAAGATCTTCTCTAAATAAATAAATATGGAAGGTACCTAAGGAACATTACTCAAGGTTGTCCTCTGGCCTCCATACACTGTACACACGTGTACCCCCCCACACATGAACACCTGCATCTGTAGATACATAAACACACACACATCACTGTCCTGATTAGAATTTGCTGTCAATTTAACAAAGCCTAGAGTCATCTGAGGGAATCCCAACTGGGAGATTGCCCAGATCATATTGGACTGTGATCATATCTATGGGTATTTTCTTGATTGCTTATTAATGCAAGAGGACTGAGCCTACTGTGGGCAGTACCACCCCAATCAGGTAGGACTGGGTTGTAAAAGAAAGCTAGCTAAGCATCAACCTGGAATTGAGCCAGAGGCAAGCCAGTAGGCAATTTTCTCTACAGTTTCTGCCTCAGTACCTGCTCTGACTTCCCTCAGTAATGGCCTCTGACCTAGAAGTATAAGCTCAAATAAACCCTTTCTTCCCCAAGTTGCTTTTGGTCATGCTATTTTATCAAAGCAACATAAAATAGCACACACACACATACACACACACACACACACACACACACACACACA